AACAAGCAAACATAACACAGTCAAACATGTTCAAACATGGTTGAAACAGAACCTGGGGACTGTGTTTTGGTATGTTTGGGGCATCTCTGGGGGGTCCGTTTGGGGTATATTTAGTTTCTCCTCGAGAGTCCCCATGTACAGTCCGGGCCCTGAAGAAGGAACCCTTTGCGTTGGAGAGGGGCCCGGCGTTCCTTGATTGTTCTGCAGCTTGCTTTCAGCTTTCCCGAGGTTTTCCCATGGGAGATCTAAGTTCAACGTATGGGAGAAAAGGGGCCCCGCTCCTTATTTGAGGCTCCTTAGGTCAACGCCTCGACTGTAGGGGGGGGACAGGCCCGACGGGAAGCTGGTGGCGGGGGAGGGCCGCGAGGGGCCGCGAGGGCCCGCGACCCTCGCGACGCGGGGCCCTCCGGCCTCGGAGGCCGCCCTCTCGGCTGCGGGGCCCGCGGCGTGCGCCACTGGCGCGCCGCCCGCTCGGGGGGGGGGGGGTAGAGGCGGAGGGGGGGGCCGGCCGCGGACGACGGTCGGGAGGAGCAGGAAAAAGGGGGGAGGGGGACCCAGACCCCCTCGAGTCATGAAAAAATCACGACGAGAGGTTTTTCGCTATTTTCGGCCTCCGGGGGCCCTTACCGGCCCTCAGGACCGTCAACAAAACGACTCAGGATGAAAAGCCGGTCCTGGGGAATGGGTCTGGACCTCTGGGGGCCGCGTCATGAAAAAATCATGACGTCGGGGGTCTGGGGAGGGAGGGAGGGAGGGAGGGAGGGAGCAGAAGTCAGGAGGGAAAGAAGCACACAGACACAACTGATCGTCGATTCCCAGGAGAATATGGGGAAAGTATGGGAAGCGGGGGGGGGGAAGACAGAGACCCAGAAAGTATGAGGAAATGTTGGGGGTCTTTTTAGTTGTGTGTATTTCTTTGTGTGTCCTGGGGCCCCTTTAAGAAGGCAGAGAGGAGGGAGGGAGGGAGGGAGGGAGGGAGGAAGGGAGGGGGAGGGGGGAGGGGGGAGGGGGAGGGGGGGGGGGAGGGGGGAGGAGCAGGAGCAAGAGGAGGAGGCACAGGGGAGGGCGGGAGAGAGGCGCCGGAGAGGGGGCGGAGGTCGGCCCGGGCCGTCCGGGCGCCGCGGGGAGGGCGGCAGGGGGAGCCCCGGGCGTGCCGCGCCCCGGCGCGATCGGCCCGGCCGGCTCCCGGCGAACTGCGGCGCCCCCGCCGCGGCTCGGCCGGACCTCTGAAAGTCGGACGGGGCTTGTGTCGGGCTGGGCGAAAGGGGGGGATTGTCCAGGACTCCTAGATGGGGTCCGAGTAGATGGTGTCGGAGGATCGCGCCGCATCGCCGATGCATCGGCGATGCGGCTCGATGCTCAGCCCGTTTATGTCCACGCCGACGTCGCCGATGCGTCGCTGGCGTCGGCGATGATCGCCGATACATCGCCGATGTATCATCGATGCGACGCCATCCTTCGACCCCATCTACTCCGACCCCATCTAGGAGGCCTCTAGATTGGGAAAGGGGGGGTTGCGAAATTTGCTGCATGCAGCTGGTTTCGGCCTCACCGAGGGGGGCACACTCCTCGATACATGGCCGCCTCCGGCGCCGGGAGGCGCCAGGAAAATCAGCTGCGTGAGCTGATTCTCAAACCCCCCCTTTGCTATCCCCCCCTTTCGCCCGGCCCGATTGTGCGCCGCGTAATGGGGGGGTCATAAATGGGGGGGTGGCGAGGGTGGTCCGAAAAGGTGCCCAAACGGTACCCAAACGAGCCCCCATGGGGCTCTGGAGGGGCCCGAAAGGGGGCTCGAGAGGGGACCTTTTCTGACCCCCCCATTTGTGACCCCCCCAGTAAGCCACGCCCAGGGGCTGGGGTTGTGGAGGACGATCACTGGAGAGGAAGCATGCCGCCAACCGACCTGTCTATCTAACGATTCTGGGCTAACTATCCCTTCGGCTATCGATCTAACTGTCTACCACCGACAACGCCTGCGGCGATTTGCCGCCGCCCCCTGCCTCCGGAAACGCATGCGCTATAACATGCCGAGCGAGGGTGCGGCCATGCTGGTGCACCAGGTGCTCCCCCAGCGCATGGGGAAGCCACTGGGGTTGTTGAGGACGATGAATGTCTGAACCATGTGTGTTAAACATGGGTTAGAAGTGTTTAACACATGTGTAGAGACTTCTCAGAACACTCTTCCGATATTTTAAACACATTTCAGTTCAATGATGGGACTGTTAGGGTGTCCATTGTCGTCGCATCCACACGGCTAGGGGCCAAGGGGGTCAAGCCCGCGCGCCCGGAGGCGAGCTCATGAACGACGCAGGCGGTGGCAGTCCATCGCGTGCCATACACGTTTGCGCCCCGATCCTGCAAAGCAGACCGTGCGCCAGGGAAGGTATCGCCCAATTGACGCGCTCATTACATCAAGAATGGCGACGCGAATCCTGAAAATCGGCCTGGAGACCAAAAACGTCATTGAGAACCGATCACACGGCCAAGCCGGTGCTGGGACGAGGATCAATCCGTTCCAGAGCGTTCTGGAACGCTCCGAGAAGGCCGCGTCGCCCGAGACATCCTCCAGATCCACCAGGTCTCAGAGATCCTCGATTTATCCTTACCCGAAGTTATCCTCGTCCTGGCTTCGTCTCGGAGGGCCGTGCAAGCATGCGATTCGCCCAATGTGATCTTGGTTTCGATGCGATTTCCCCGCGAGCGGGGTGCACTTCGGAGGGGAAGTGCATATACCTCATGGACCACGTCTCGGTTGACAAGGTGATTGGGGGAGACGTGTGCAGTTTTCATGGTTTTGCGTTGGATGGCCCGACCTGTCTAACTAACGATTATGGCTAAGTAACGGCTATATATCTTACTGTCTACCACCGAAGACGCCTGCTGCGAATCACCGCCGCTCCCTGCCTCTGGAAACGCATGCGCTGTAGCATGCCGAGCGAAGGTGCGGCCATGCTGGTGCACCAGGTGCTCCCCCAGCGCCTGGGGAAGCCACTGGGTTAACCATGGGGAGGGACCCTCTGGGGTCATCTTGAGCCTCTCTTGGGGCTCTCGGGCCGACGGGACACCCCATGGAACAATCCACGGGATAACCACGGGACAACCGCGGGACACCCGGCGGGATGACCCACAGGACAACTACGGTACAACTACGGGACGACGCACGGGCAACATACAGGACTACCAAAAGAATACCCGCGGGTCTACCGCTTTTGCAGTATTTGGTCGGGTGGCGGTTGCGGGGGTTTCGTTGTGGGGGTTTTTGCAAGTGTGGTATGCTTGAAAAACAAGTGATTCGCTTTTTTCTTCTTATTATTCTTATTTGTTTTCTTTATCTTTTCTTTCTTTAACTTTTTTTCTTTACTTTTTTTATTTATTTTTCTTTTGCCAGACTGACACACAGGCATGTTGTCCGACTTACTCCTAGCCGCGGCCGGCACATCAGCATACTCGCGTTGCTTCGCCTCGCCCGCACGCGCGACACGGACCAGTACCGACTCCGGATTTCTGGTCGGTGGCCTCAGTTGGACCCTTTCTGTTTTTTCTTTTTTTTACTCTTTTTTTTTCTTTTTTTTCTACTGTCCTTTTTGTATTGGTTTTTTTTTTTAATTTTTTTTTTTCACTATCCTTTGTTTATTTTTTTTTCCGCCACGCCCTCCCAAACTTCCGACCGATACCCGCGTTCTCCTTCCTTCTCGCCTCGTGGGGCATCCTGAGGGGCCCTCGGCTCCGCGGCCGGATTCGCCGCGGAGTTTGAGTCAAAGCGCGCCCCCGCAGGGGTCCAGGGGGCATCGGCGTCGGTATTCTTTCAGTTCTCCGATCGCCGTTGGCTTGGCGTCGCTCGGACGTGTGCATGTTTCCTTTGGCGAGGACCATCGAGGAGCATCCTCGATCATTTGGCGAAAAAAAAAAACACGCACGAAACCGACCAAAAAAACAGGGAATGGGCGTCCGAGCGATGGCGAGTTGCATGCACACGAGTGCTGCGCACGGGCGAGGACCAGCCTCGCGGTCGAGGGTGCCGGGGCGCGGGCCCACGGGTGCGCTCGGCGAATGTCAGGGGAGCGTAAGACCCGGGTTTGCCAGGACTCGGGTTCGCCATCGTTTTTTGACGACCGCGCCTCGGATTTTGACGAGGAGGAGTTTCGTGGGACGTCTGCAGCGGGAGGCCTCGTCAAAATGCAGGCTCGGCCTCGTCATTTTTGTTGACGACCTCGTCGGGCCAACCCGAGTCCCCCGTACCCGGGTCTTACGTCTCCCCGAGAATGGCGCGTGGAAGTGGCCCTGCGCCGGAGTGGCCTTTGGTGCGGGCCCACTGGGGCTTCTGGATCTCTGGAGGCGACGCGATAGGAGCGGCTTGCGCGCTCTGGTGTGGCCCCCTCCGCGCCCCCCCTCACAACCGCGCACCGTAGGCCACTCTTGCCCAGGGTCACCCCTGCGTGCAGCCTGAAGCCGGGCCTGTCCCTCGACAGGGGGAATCTTCAACATCAGTCAACAAAAATAGTCTGGGGATTATTTGTGGAGTGTTTTTGGGCATCTTTTGAGTATTTTTTATGTTTTTATATTTTCGTCCAGAATCCCCCTGTGGGGGGACAGGCCCGACCCAAGTGTAGCCGATACGCGGTCCTGCGCGGGGCACCCGCGCATCGCCACCCTGCATCCACCAGGACGCGGCCCGGTATCAGGAGTCGGGAGCCTCGAGACGGGGGTCAATGCAAACAGGGGTCAGCCAGAGCGCCGGAGGAGGAGAAAACACACACACACACAGACACAATGAATCGTCGATTCCCAAAATACAATTGGAACATATGGGAAGTGGGGGGGGAAGGCGAAACCCCAGCAAATATAGGAAAAGATGGGGAATCCTGTGAGTTGTGTGCATTTGTTTGTGTGTCCCAGGGCCCCTTCACACCCTGCAGCCACCAAGGACGAGGCCGAGGAGGCCAGGCCGCGAGGCCCTGTGGCTTGCAATATGTGTCTCCCGCCTGCGGGCTGCGGGGCAGGCAGCTCATCGTGGCCATGGGGGAGCCTGGCCTGCCGTATGAGTTGCACCCGCCAGTGATCGGGGGCGGCAGAGGGGGGTGATGACTAGGGGGGGGTGGATATCATGGCGGGGGCCATCATATTTCCCCAGGTTTCATGGCGCCTCTTCTTATTTCATTACGTCCCTGGCCCCCCCGCTGGGCCGCGCACATGCCGCCCGTCATGCTTTGCACCCCCACCCTCTTGGACACTCCCCTCTTGGCCGCTCACGAAGTGAGCCTAGGGCTCGATTCATGGAAACGTAAGACTCGACTATGCCAGATCTCGGCTTCGCTTTCGCTTTCTGATGGGCGCCATTTGGAGTTTGACGGTCCAGTTTTCGTGGGACGTCAGCATCGGGAGATCGCGTCAACTTTTTTTTTTTTTTTTATTTTTTATTTTTTTTTTTTTAGTTTTGTTATTCTTTTTTTTTTCTTTTTTTTTTTTTTTTTTTTTTTTTTTTTTGTTTTTTCTTTTTTTTTTTTTTTTTTTTTTTATTTTTTTTTTTTAGTTTTTTTATTCTTTTTTGAGACTGGGTCTCGTTATTTTCATGATGGCCCCGTCAGGCCACCCAGAGTCAGGGCTCGCTTCGATTCCTCCGATTCGATTCGATTCGATTTCGATGGATGCCGATTCCGAATCGATTCGACTTGGGATTCCGATTCGGGTTCCGATTTCTCATTGGAGGCCTACTAGCCTGCCGATTTCCGCCGATTCGACGTTTTCCGACTCGGCTGCCGATTTCCGCCGATCCGATTCATTTCGATCGCCGATTCGATTTGTCGATTCGATTCTAGGCTCTCCTGCAGAGTCCCCCGAATTCGAGTCTTACGTCTCCCCGATCGATGGTCCTCAGGACGTTTGTCAGCCCAGCGAGTGCTTCCCCCCCTCCCAGCTCCGCCCATCGCACGCCGCTCTGCCTCGGCCCTCACTACAGTGAGCGGCTTGAATAAGGAACAGTTACTTTTCAAAAGGGGCTCGGTCGTTCCTTAGATTTTACATGCGTTATGTACAGTTCCTTATGCGTTATGTCTTATGTATCGTTCCTTATGCGTTATTCCTTGGGATAAAAAGGGGCTTCGTTCCTTATTTATCGTTCCTCAGGTCAGGCCGATGACTGTACGCGGCCTGCGTCGCTTTTGCAGGGCCTTGGTGGACAAGCGCTCGTGGGCGGCAGCACACGTTCGGAGGGTCATCGGAGGGTTTGCGGCTGTACCGTTGCGACCGCACAGACGGTCCACCCTCCACAGCGAGCGTGCGGCTCTTCCGTATTGGCCGCGTGGGATGGGTGCATTTCGCCACGGCCGCGGTGCAAAGTGGGCGCGGGAGGCCAGGTCCGCCGAGGGAGCGATGGTTGCGGGTGTGGTATGACCTGAAGTTCTGTGGCCAGTGAACGTGCTCCAGCACGCACGCACGCTCTCTACCTGGGGACCTGATTGGCCGTCTTGGGACAATCGCGGAGATTTCTTGGGCCTCCGCGCGCCCGGCGGACACCAGAGACCGCGAGTTTGCGAAGCTTGTTCCAGCAGCCCACGGGGCATCTATCATCCTGGCGTTCTCGGACCCCTGTGGGGGGACCTCGCGTGGCCCGCTTGGGCGCTCTTGCAGCCATCTGGGGCAGTCGTGCGGCCATCTCAGGCCGCCTTGGGACCATGTTGGCCCGACCTGGATGTGCAGCTGCGGCCGTCCTAGCGGCGTTGGCTGCCTGCCTCGGCCGCCTCTGGAGCCGAGCTTGTCCCTTGCTTCTCTCTCTACAGATGGGGAAGGGATACACAGCCACGCTAGGCGGCCTCGCGCCATATCTGACATCCTACCCCTCCCACCCATCCCCTCCCACTGCGCTCGCTCTCCCCCTCTCTCTCTATATCTCTCCCTCTCTTTCTCTCTCTCTCTCTCTCTCTCTCTCTCCCTCTCTCTCTCTCTATATGTTTCCGCTCGCGCGTGTCATGGCGGACCCTAGAGCTCCAAACGGTACCCCATCGTGTATAGATGTGTGCTGAACAATCGGGAAGGGGTTGCTGCTTACATAGGTGGAGGAGGAGGAGGAGGAAGAGAAGGATGTGGCGGATGAGTAGGAGGATGGTCAGGAGGGGAAACGAGGAACATGGTGTTGAACGGGGAAGGCAAGGACGAACAACAGCAGCAGGAGTTGGAGTTGAAGGAGCGGGAGGAGCGGAAGGTCCAGGAGGGGTGAAATGAGGGGGGGCGACACCGATGAGGAAGGCATCGGATCCAGCAATGTGGCCCACACTTCGGCGTGAGCTGAAATACCGAGACCGCTTCGATGGGAGCCCAGATAGGAACGACGAAGCATTGAAATCCAGTGTAAGAGCACGGCGCCGAGAGGGCGGGGTAGTAGTATATTCATATTGAGTAAGTGTTGATGGGGTGGAGGGGCAGGGAAACAGGTGGAGGAGGAACGGGCCAGAGGTAGAGAACGGAGGAGGACTTTACGGAGATCGTGGCAGGTCAGTTCGGCACTCAACTGGGCCACTTCACACCACGCTGTCGTCCAAGGATGGGCTCAGTGTCCGCCATCGGAGCCTTCTCTCGGGCAGCATCCTGATTGAGTGCCGTGGGCGAAGGGAGAGTCCAGGGTCCATGACCCACCTTCCAGAATACAGCTTCTCGAGACATTGCGTCCCTCTGTCACAGCCTCCTGGGTGGCTGGGGGGCCGCTGCTGCCAAGTACTGCGGGCATAGTGTCCGCAATCTTGCCCTAACCAGGTGCGCCCCTTTCCTTGCCACCGAAGCTACTCCGCGGCTGTAAGTGTTTGGGGGCATGTGCAGGCGAGTCCACACGACCTCAATGACTGAATGTATGCAGTTTGAACACTTGCTTGGCGGACTCCGCAGGGTACAGTCGAAACCGGTAGGAAGGATGATCGACTTCCTAAGGGTACCGTGGCATCCTTGCCTCTTCGGTCATCTTCGCTCCATTCCCCACCACTTTCGATGGCCAGCCCCGCTTGAAGAGCTTCGGCATGGGTGTCCAAGGCCCTTGCACCCATATCGTGCATTATTGCTGTCAGATTTGACTGTAGCTCACTTTCCCGATGCAACCATGCATTGCGGGCCTCACTCGCGCCGACCGCAGGGTTTCCCCGCGAGGCGGGCGCGCGCGTGCGCATGCGCGGTTTCTGCGCGAGGGCATGCTGCTCCCCATGCCGGCCTCGCGAGTTGTCAGGCTTCATCCACTTCTCTTATGACTTCTGGGACCAGTCAGGGCCACACACATGCCATCATTGTCCGTGCTATGTGACTGCCCGTCCTCCACGATAGTTCTTCCATGACGCTCCGACTCCTTAAGTTCTGTGACCGCCTTTCCCAACCCAGCCTCGAGGTCTCGTGCCGTCCATGCATCTGTTATGTTGCCTCACATTATTATGCTTCTTTCGTAGCGTTTGGCTTCTCCGCAGGGTGCAGGTGCGACGTCCGGTGATTATGTTTGAGACTGTTTCTCGAAAAAGGGCAGAGACCCACCATCTCCGTCGACCAAGAGGTCTGGGCCCAGCGATGCGCGCGATGTGTGGGCCTGCGTTGTCGTGTTGAGCGTATCGCGCAGGAGCGCTTGTTAATCACGCGTGTGCAGATGTGCGCACAGGCAGTGGTGCGTACATCCATGTCACCCATAGGCAGCCGCAGGCGGTTGACCGCATTGGCACACATGCGCAGTTCTGTCTACACCCGCAGTGCGTTCCCTCTCTATCTCTCCCTTTTCTACCTTTCCCTCGTTCATTTGTATTTTTGTTTGGTGGGTCTTTCTTGTCTCTCTCCCTCCCTCTCTCTCTCTCTCTCTTCCCTTGTATAGTTGTCGTCATCTGTCTGTGTCCTTCTCTCTCTCTCTCTTTCTATTTCCCTCGCTCTCTCTCTCTCTCTCTCTCTCTCTCTCCCTCGCACTCTACATCTCTCGCGCTCTCTCTCTCACGGACTCTCTCTCTCTCTCTCTCGTTCTCTCCCTCTCCTTCTTTCTCCCAGAATCAATCACGCACACGCGCAATAGCCTTCGCTCCTGTCTTCGGCAAGGGGTGTGAGCTGATTGGATGGGAGAGGGGTCATTTTCAGCAAGTTCGTTGAACAGTCTTAGTTCGTTGTGAAGTTTGGCTGCGTGGAGATCTTCACAACCTGGTTGCCATGGGAGCCCGCACCGCGGGAGTGGTCAGTGGTATGGAAGATGTCGTTAGGTTGGCGCCCAGCAAGATGGTTGTATCACATCGTATCAGGAGAGTCCTTGGTGGTGGTGAATGTTCTGCCTCCTCTTTAGATGCTCATAGGTTGGCACTGGTACCAATATCGGTGGTCGCCTCTACCTCGGGAAAGTGACCTCAGATCTCGGTGATGGTGGTGGTGGTCTTCAGGCCACGTGTCGGCGGCGAGCGAGGGAGGGAAATGAGAAGGAGAAGGCCTTCTCAGAAGGCGGCTGGATTTCTCAGAAGCCCTCGCGCCTTCTGAGAAGTTTGTCCTGCCTTCGGGGAAGGCTTAGAACACTTCTCAGAAGACCGGGGGACTTCCGAACCTTCTGAGGGGGCCTGGTCCTTCTCATTTCCCCCTCTCGCTTGCCGCCGAACGTGGGTGGCCGCAAGGTCAAGACTTCCACCAGCATCGTGGATACTCCTCCCATGGTAGAGGCGGTCCCCGGGACATGGCCTCAATCGATGACCGTTTTCCCCTGGTGGAGGCACGCTCCCAGGATCCGGCGGCGAGCGAGGGGGGGAAATGAGAAGGAGAGGGCCTTCTCGGAAGGCGGCGGGGCCTCTCAGAAGCCCTCGCGCCTTCTGATACGTTCTTGTCCGTCTTCGGGGAAGGCCCAGAAAGTTTCTCAGCGGGCCGGGGGACTTCCGAACTTTCTGAGCAGGCCTTCTCCCTCTCGGTTCCCCCCCGTCGCTCGCCGCCGACCTCCTAAACTTGGCATCGCTCGGACGTGTGCATTTTTTCTTCGGCGAGGACCATCGAGGAGCATCCTTGATCATTTGGCGAAACAGCCACGCACGAAACCTACAAAAACACGGGGAACTCTGGTCCATCCGCAGTCTCCGCTGTCGATCGGTGGCGAGCAAGCTCCGTGGGGCACGCGGCCGAGGAGTCCCGGCGGCGAGGCTGCGGACGTGGCCAGGTGGCTGGAAGCCACCACTCTGCAAGCCAAGATCCTGCCGGGTCCTGCGGGAGAGCACGGCCAGTGGAGAACGCGTGGACGTTTCGACCCGCTTCAGCAGTTCTTTCGGGTGCGCCAGTGCCCTGGTCTTTGAGGCCCCCCGTCGCGCGGCACTGACGTGGACGTCTCTCCCGCCTCCGGGTCTTGCTGGTGATGGATGGTCTCGTGGGCGGAAGGGACACCTGTATCCGTGGCCTCGCGGGCCAGTCCCCCAGCGACCCCGCGGACACAGGGCGTTTTCTCGGGGACGCCCCGCGCGGAGCGTACCCAGACTGCGAGGAGCCGTAGCGCGCCGAGGCACCGCGAAACCCAGACTGCGAGGAGCCGCAGCGTACCCAGACGGCGAGGAACCGCGGCGTACCTCAGGCTGCAACTTCAGGGAGCTTGGCATCGCTCGGGCGTGTGCACTTTTGCTCACGCACGAATATATCGAGGGAACAACACACGCACGAAACCGAGCAATTCGCAGGAAATGGACGTCCGAGCGACGGCAAGGGAGGCTGAACTCAGCACTGGCGCTGGCACGCCCGTGGCCCCCAAAAAGTCCTGCCTCAGCCGCGTGAGCCTGGCCCAGTCCGGCTGAATCTTGCGAAACCTTGGGGCCTAAATCTGGGTTTGTATGGCTTCAAGGCTCTTTACTTCATCGTTCGGGCGGAGACCTCCCGGAAGTTGCCTCCGAACCCCCACCAACCCCGACATGCGATGTCTTAGTTTTTTTTAGATAGGGGTTCCCCTAAAGTTCCGCCCCTGGGGTTGCTAAGGGGATAGGGGGGTTACAGGGTCATCCAGCTGCCTGCGGTAAGACATGCCACCGTGCCAGCGCAGCATTGTGGGTGGCCTCTGTTCTGGGAGGTATGGGAGGCCGTCTTTCGTGACAATTCGCATCTGCAGGCTTGGGAGACCCGTGATGACGATGCTGATGATTATGATGACGACGATGATGATGATGCTGATGGTGGTGGTGATGGTCATGATGATAATGGTCATGATGATTATGTAAATGTTGATGATGGTGCTGATGCTAGTGATGATGTGGATGATGGTTATGGCGATGGCGATGGCGATGGTGATGGTGATGGTGATGGTGATGGTGATGGTGGTGGCGGTGACGGTGATGATGCTGATGGTGGTGGTGGCGATGGTGGTGATGATGATGATGATAACGATGCTGAGGAGTATACTGATGGTGATGACGAGGATGATGGTGGTTTTGATGGTAATGATAATGCTGCTGATACTGATGATGATGATAATGATGATGAGGCTGACGATGCTGATGATGATGACGACGGTGACGAGGCGGAGGAAGGGGAGGAGAGATAAGTATGGTCATGGTGGTAGTGGCGATGATGGTGGTGGTGGTCATGATGATAGTGATGATGAGGAGGAGGAGGATGGTGTGGATGGTGCTCTTGCGGGTGAGGATGGGGATTTGGGATGATGATGATGAGGAGGAGGAGGAGGCGGTGGAGAAAAGGGAGGAGGTAACGGAGGAGGAAGACAGGTGGCATGAGGAGACGGCGGACGAGGACGACCGTCACATGGGACACGTTTCGGTTTCACTTCCTACGCTAAATTGCCTGCTAAGCTTCGGAACACCAACTTCGGTTCCATGGGTCAGGCGTCGCTCACGCGAATTTCGTTATTTTGTTCTCGATGGTTTTCTGGTTACGGGTGTGATGTCTTGCAGATCTGGAATTGTAGAACTTCATCGTCGTCTTGATCCAGATTTCATAACGCCTTTCCGAATGATTCGACATGGTTTTCGAGCGGTGTGGCGTTTGCCTTTCAGGGGGGTCCCAGTGGTAAAACAACTTCTTGGATTAGTGTATACCTGTAAACTATCTTATAGTTGAATGTCTCTGCTGTGATAGTCTTAGTTTTGTATAACTTTTGCGGGTTGTGCTCAAGACGTTGCTATCTTCTTGCAGGGACTGGGGCACCGGGGCTCGACTATCTATCATCAATCGTGAATTCATGTAATACATATGCATGTACACACCTAAACATGTATGTAGTATTTGTTTTGGCCCGCAGGCCGAAGTGCCTTGCAGAAGCTGGCCCGAAGAGGAGGAGGAGATCTCGTGCAAATGTGCGAGCACTGCTTGGGAGTCTGGAGCCATGCCGCGGGAAACCCGCACTGCCCGCTGTCTAGAGACGCCCGCTGGACCGTTTGTCGTGGACTGCCCGTGGTGCCCGTGGCGGGCTTAATCTTGTCAGAAGGTTGGTGGATGCTGGTGCGAATGCGGGGCGTGTTCTGACCTTCCTCGCCTTCTCCTGGCTGCAGGTCGCATGGCTGCAGGTCGTCAGCGACCAAGCTTTGGTATTTCCGAACCATCCTGTGGTGTTAGGTCCTCGTTTTGAAGAGACGTCGCTTCGCGTCCTCTCCTCCTCTCCTCCTCCTCCCCTCCCTCCCTCCTTCCATGCGTTTCACCCACCCAGCACAGCGCTTCGCGGCCCCATAGGGAGCTCCACCGAAGCCACCAGTGGGACCGCCCGCATGCGTTCCCCACACCCAATTGGGCATTTTCACCCACCCAGCACAGCTCTTCGTGGCCCAATAGGGAGCTCCACCGAAGCCCCCAGTGGGACCGCCCGCATGCGTCCCCCACACCCATCTGGTACTGTCACCCACCCAGCATAGCGTTTTGTGGCCACATAGGGAGCTCCACCGAAGCCCCCAGTGGGACCGCCCGCATGCGCCCCCCCCCACACCCAATTTGGCACTTTCACTCACCCAGAACAGTGTTTCGTGGCCCAGTAGGGAGCTCCACCGAAGCCCCCAGTGGGACCGCCCGTATGCGTCCCCCACACCCATCTGGCACTGTCACCCACCCAGCACCGCGTTTTGTGGCCACATAGGGAGCTCCACCGAAGCCCCCAGTGGGACCGCCCGCATGCGCCCCCCACACCCAATTTGGCACTTTCACTCACCCAGAACAGTGTTTCGTGGCTCCATAGGGAACTCCACCGAAGCCCCCAATGGGACCGCCCGCATGCGTCCCACATGCGTCCCCCACATCCCATTTGGCATTA